CTGACCCACATTTTGTGTCTGAATGGACAGACAGAGCAGCGGTTTGGAAGCGAGCCTGCCTGGGAGAATCTGAGCTGCTCTGTGCAAAACCACTGCACAGAGCATGTTACGCATTACATGTTTGTTAATAGAAAAAAAAAAAACAGCCATAATATCACTTTAAATCCATTCCACTGTGTTTTAGTACTCACCAACTCATCAGGTGCTAAAAATATTTACCAAATGGCTAAATAGTATGACGTGTATGTATTGTTAATAGGGAAAACTACTGTTAGAAAAAAAAATTGACAAAAATTGCACATTATATCATCCTATAACAACTTGCTGTCTCTTGTTGTTTAATCGTGAGCCGTAGCAGCGTAGCAATGAAAGTTGTGTTCAGCTGAGTGCTTGATCCTAATTAAAGCAGTTTGGAGAAGGATGCGTAATGAGGATAAACCAACAATTTTCAGCCAGTGGTTTATGGCTTAGACATAAACTATATGGAGTCAAAATTTAATTCAGCTAAAAAAAATAAAAAAATAATCTGTGCTTTGCAATCAAACACTTGAATTAAAACTGCATGTTTTTCACACAGTTCTATTTTTTGTTGCCTTACAAATAAATGTGTACTTTATATTTATAAGGTACACATTGCAAAAGCTTCATTTTATTACAGAGTTGCCATTTAGTTTTTATTTGCTCCCATATGGTCTGTCAAAGCCGAATTCCAAGTATGATCTTTACTACTGCATACTTATATTCGTCCACCTTGGGCCAATGTATGATGGCATATCTCATACCTTAGGGACTCCTGGGGAATCTGACACTCCCTGTAGTAGCTTGCACTGCTACAGTGATAGCTGAAATCTTTTGGGTCCTGTGGGCGTGGCTGCACTTCTGCACACTGACCACAGAGGGGCGCTCATTCAGAACTGCTGCCATTCGCTAAAGGTGGTAAGGAGGGGCAATGACATCACAATCTCTACTGTGTCCAATCACAACATGCCTTGCATACACTGAAAAAAAAAAAAGTGCTGATCGAACATCCTCCTGTGGTTAGAGTGCATTGAGGATGCTGCTCTGAGTTTGACCCAGAAGATCTTTGCTATCACTGTAGTAGTGCCAACTACAATGAGTCAAGCTGATCCAATGTAAGTATGTGATCAAACTCATATGTTGAGTTCAGCTTTAAAGCAGAAGGAAAAGCAAGCAGGCTCAGCTTACAGTGTTGGGTCGGTCTTTGAGTGTTGGGATGAGGGCCTCCTGTGCATGCGCAGGAGTGACATCTTCTCACGCTGGCCAATGACGAGGTATGAAGACCGGTACAGAAAAGAAGATGCGGGCGCTGGAATGAGACTGACAAACAGGTAGGTATTAAAGTGGTTGTAAAGGCTGAAGGTTTTTTACCTTCATGTATAGAATGTCAAAAAACCTTCTCTGTGCAGCATCTCCCCCAGCCCCCCCTAGTACTCTAAGCTCCCCCTTCGATCCACCGATCTGCACTGCTGTCTCAGCTATCCCAGGACTACCTCTCCTCATTGGCTCAAACTGCAATGGGAGCCATTGACTCCCATTGCTGTCAATCACTGCCAGTAAGCCAATGAGAAGACAAAGTGGGTGGGGCCAAGATGTTGCTTCGTGTGTGAATGGACAAATGGAGCCACGGGTGCCCCCTTAGTATGAATGGACGCACGGAGCTGCGGGTGCCCCCATAGCAAGCTTCTTGCTGTGGGGGCGCCTGGCAAGAGGAAGGGGCCAGGAACACCTAGGGAGACCTGAGAGGAGGAGCCTTTAGAATCACTTGAAGACAATCATTATTTAAATGTGCAAAACATCTATTCCACATCTAATACTCAAAAAGGCTAGGTGCACACTGCTGCGATCTGATTCGACTTTCAATACTTTGATGCTATTTTGAATTGTTTTGCATATTCTGTGGGGCCACAATCATGCTGGAATTGCTCCAAAGTAGTACAGGAACCTTTTCCAAAATTGAAACACACTGAAATTTATTTATTTCAGGTACTTGCTTTTATCAAAAATGGCTGGACAAAAGTATTGGCACCCTTCACAATCTGCGGATAAATAAGAATGTTACAAGCATGTGATGCTCCTGTAAAACTCACCTGGGGGCTAGTAACAGGTGTGGGCAATATAGAAATCAAACCTGGTTAGCGCCATCAATTTTACGCAGCGCTTTATATATATATATATTGTACATTCACATCAGTCCCTAACCCTCAAGGGGTGTAAAATATGGTGGATCTAAGATCCCTAACTTACATCCATACACACACATACTTAGGCCAATTTAGACAGGATCCAATTCACCTACCAGCATGTCTTTGCAGTGTGGGAGTAAACTAGAGTACCCGGAGGAAACCCACGCAGGCAAATGGAGAACATGCAAACTCCAGGCAGGTGGTGCCGTGGCTGGGAGTCAAACCAACAACCCTAGTACTGCCAAGCAGAAGTACTAACCATTTAGCCACTGTGCTGCCAAATACATTGATGTGAACAAGCACCATTGAAAACAATCCATTGTCATGTTCTGAGTTATTCAAGTTGCAACTGAAATCGCACTAGTGAGCCTGAATGATGTTTTCTATACTACTTCACTCATGTAATTACTGGAGATCACAAACTGCTAGGAATATGCAGTTCCCATCTAGGTTTGGCCAAACCTTGTCCATCCTTTGTGAATTGTGGAATGCAGAATGCTCTGATACCTTCAGTATTCTCATTGACATCCTGAAGATTTATGTTCGGGTGTTGCACCATGTGATTGTGCCTGTATCATCAACCCATCAGAGCCACGTGCATGAATCTGTCTGTCTCTGGACACTTCTCTCTCTCCCTGGCAACTGTGCCCATCACACTGAGAGGCACATAGCTGAGGAGTTTTGTAGTAGGTATGGGTGGAATATGATGGGATACTGAGAGGCTAGTTCTCCATCAGGTCCGCATTGTAGTTAATTGACAGTGGGTGCCTTCAAGAGCTGTTATTGAACTGAATAAAATGTGGGCAGGGCCAAGCATTTGGTACCCTGAGAGGAGAGAATGCACATGGAGACCAAGGATAGAAATAAAGTACACTCCCCAACCACTTTATTAGGTACACCTGTTTAATTGCTTGGTAACACAAATTGCTAATCAGCCAATCACATGGCAGCAACTCAATGTATTTAGGCATCTAGACGTGGTGAAGATGACTTGCTGAAGTTCAAACCGAGCATCAGTATGGGTAAGAAAGGGGATTTAAGTGACTTTGAACATGGCATGGTTGTTGGTGCCAAACAGGCTGGTCTGAACATTTCAAAAATCTGCTCATCTACTGGGATTTTCACATACAACCATCTCTAGGGTTTACAGAGAATGGTCTGAAAAAAATAGAAATATCCAGTGAGCAGCAGTTTTGTGGATGAAAATGCCTTGTAGATGTCAGAGGTCAGAGAAGAATGGGCAGACTGGTTTGAGATGATAAAAAGGCAACAGTAACTCATGTCAGAATGGACCAAAATCTCTGAGGAATGTTTCCAAAACCTTTTTGAACCTGTGCCATGAAGACGTAAGGCAGGTCTGAAGGCAAAAGGGGGTCCAACCCGGTACTAGCAAGGTGTACCTAGTAAAGTAGCCGGAGAGTGTATATTAACATGCAAATTTCTGCAAGGTGGTAACCAGGGGCAGACTGACAACCTATGGGCCCCCGGGCAATAGGGGATCATGGGGCCCCTGTGTCCTTGCCCAAACTCAAAAAAGCCTATGAAAAAGGTACCAGGGGCATCTCATGGGGCCCCTTACTGACCCCGAGCCCTCGGGCAGTGCCCGAGTGCTCGAATGGTCAGTCCGCCCCTGGTGGTAACAGAGTGTGTGTAACATGGCCAAAGTGGCCTAGCAGCACTTACAGAGAGATTGCAGAAGATACTCGAAAACAACTGATGATGCTTGGCAACATGTGACAGAGGAGGTGGCTGGAAGGCATCTGACAACTAGGCACTTGGATGTGGAAGGGCTCCTGGCTGGCAACAAGGGGAGGGCTGACCATTTGGAAAGAGCCGGGTTGGAGCCCTGTGTGGGAGTCACATACATCTGCATGCAGGGGCGGACTGACCATTTGGAAACTAGAATGGAAAATAAAGGAACAGAATGGAATAGAATAGAACAGAAAAGAATAGAAAATTAATAGAATAGAAGAGAATAAAATAGAATAGAATAGAAAGAATATAGCTATCTGAAATTCAAAAGGAATAGAATAAAACAAAATAGTGTAAAACAGAACAGAATAGAATATAAAATAAAATAGAATATAAAATAAAAGAATACAATAGAATATAAAATAAAATTTCTTCTGAAATTCAAAAAGAATTGAATAAAACAGAATAGTGTAAAACAACAGAATAGAAAATAAAAAGAATAGAAAATAATAGAACAGAATAGAATAAAATAGAATAGAATAGAAAGAATATAGTCGTCTTCTGAAATTCAAAAAAGAATAGAATAAAACAGAATAGTGTAAAACAGAACAGAATAGAAAATAAAATAGTAAAGAAAATAAAGGAATAAAATAGAAGAGAAAATAAAGGAATAAAATAGAATAGAAAATAAAAAGAATAGACAAGAATAGAATAGAGGAGAATAAAGTAGAATAGAATAGAAAGAATATAATTGCCTTCCAAAATTCAAATTTTGAGTAGGATAGAACCAGCTATTCTTCACAATGAATTTGGATCGATTCAATATTTTTTATTCAAATTTGATTTAAATTTGATTTGAATTGGATTAGAATACTTTGAATCCATTGGAAACATTTCAGTCAAAACTAAATGAAACGAATGAATGCAATGAAATGAAATTGGTAACCTAACAAATCGATCCAAAACTAAATGAAACACATTCTTTTCGTTCTGCACATGTCTAGTAATGACGTCATCAACTGTATCTCCAGCCCCTTTGGTTTACATTTAGTTTTCAGCTAAATCGAGCCGGGTTGGAGCCCTGTGTGGGAGTCACATACATCTGCATCCAGGGGCGGACTGACCATTTGGAAACTCGGGCACTGCCTGAGGGTCCGGGGTCAGTAGGGGGCCCCATGAGATGCCCCTGGTACCTGTTTCATAGGCTTTTTTGAGTTTGGGCAAGGACACAGGGGCCCCATGATCCCCTATTGCCCGGGGGCCCCATGAGTTGTCAGTCCGCCCCTGTCTGCATGTCAGCTCAGAGCTGGTCTTAATTATTGCCAGTTTCCTAATCTTCCATAATGACAAGTTCCTAAAGTGGAAGCTGAATCTGCCAGCTATGCTGGTCATTTTACTGAAGCTGGTTAAAATGCTTGCCTGAAATAGGTGCAGGTAGAAAATTACCATCAGAAAATAGAGGTTAGGACTTTACTGCATCCCTCTGAAGGTCTTTTTTGCCCTTCATAGGCAAGTGGACAGCTTCTCTTTACCAGAAAACAGTCTATAAATGTAAGCTCTATATCTATAAAGAAAGGGATCCCTCTTCAACCTTCTGAACAACATTTAAATAAATGTCTTTCTTTAACCTTACAACGTTCAGGATAAAGTGCCGACAAATGCAGCTTTTCTGCGGCAAACATTTTACAGCAACCGTAACTGCCCCCAGCCGTCACAATTTATAACATCACATGTCTGCCTTTGATAGTCTGGCCAACCGGTTTGTAAATTAAATTCATGGGCTCGCTCTCCGCATGACTCGCAACCAATGAAATTACTTTACCCTCGTAAATCTTGCCTATATTTATTGATTCACAACTTTTCAGGAATATAAACGACGAACAGAAAAGTTTAACAATATCGAGTGACAAGATCTATGAGAACCTGTGCGCAAATATAGAGATAAAAAGTGTCATGAAGCCGGGGCTGGAACAAAATATGTCCCCAAGGTGAGCCTCACTTTCCTGCATACCGGTTTTTCTTAGGAGATATTTCTCTTTTATCTAAAACATATTTTTAAAAATGCAGATGCATCTTGATGAGACTGCAAACTCGGGAGCTAAAAGAGGCTGATTAAATTTCAAGCCTTAAAAGTCTATGTCCAGCCAAAACTTTTTTTTTTTTTTTTTTTTTTTTTATTGGTTTGGATAAAGTGGCAAAGATTTAGGACTTGTCTGGTTTTTACTGCTATGCAGGGCTCTGCTAGAGAGATTTTCTGGCCTTCCGTGAGAAGGACCTATAGTAGGGGATCACCACTGGCAGTGCGTCTCCAAAGGGGCAAAGCTGCTAGTTGGATAGGACTGACTTAGATATTTTTAATATAACTATTTATTTAAAGTATTTGTTCCAGTACATTACAGAAAAAGAATACCAAAGACATCTGTATAAAAAGCATTTCAAACCAGACCGAAGAACTGGAGAAGGTGCAGAGAAGGGCAACCAAACTGCTAAGAGGCATGGAGGAGCTCAGCTACGAGGAAAGATTAGAGGAACTGAATGTAGTCCTTCTTGAGAAGAGGAGAGTAGGGGGATTATTTACTAAATATAAATAGGGCTACCCTTTTCAACTTGCCAGCCAGCTAACCAATAATATTGGTCAGCAACCCCAGTCTAAAAATGGCTTTTAACAGCAAGGAACATGGATAGGTAACACTTATCAAAAAGGGGGATAAGAAAGCCAGTTCAATCTGCCAGCCAGTTAGCCAACTATCAAAAACCAAATTAACCTGTCTAACAACATACGTTTAAAAACAGGGGTTTAGTTAGCACACATTTGCAAATACATACATAAGCCACAGAGCCACATCACGGCACCCTGAATTTCCATGGTCCTAACTTTATAAATCTTGAGAGTCCTCCTAGTAGAGGCACATGCATTTAATGGATAGACCAAGGGCAGGTGGACCTGAGGGAGCCCACCCCTCGTTAAAGGTACAGGTACGCACTGACACCCAGCATATAGCACAACGGCAGCCAGGGTATCCAGTGCACCCACAAACCTCAAAAAATACATAAAAAAATATTGGTCACCGACCCCGGTCTATAACTGGCTAATAAAGCCAGTTATAGACCTGGGTTGGTGCATGCCTCTACTATGTGCCTGTACTATGAGGACTCTCAAGATTTACAGAGTTAGGACCACAGAAATTCAGGGTGCCGTGCAGGGGCGGACTGACAACTTATGGGGCCCCCCGGCAATAGGGGATCATGGGGCCCCTGTGTCCCTGCCCAAACTAAAAAAAGCCTATGAAAAAGGTACCAGGGGCATCTCATGGGGCCCCCTACTGACCCCAGGCCCTCGGGCAGTGCCCAAGTTTCCAAATGGTCAGTCCACCCCTGGTGCCGTGATCTGGCTCTGTGGCTTTCATATGTATTTGCAAATGTGTGCTAACTAAACCCCTGTTTTTAAACGCATACTGTTAGACAGGTTAATTTGGTTTTTGATAGTTGACTAACTGGCTGGCAGATTGAACTGGCTTTCTTATCCCCCTTTTTGATACGTGTTACCTATCCATGTTCCTTGCTGTTAAAAGCCATTTTTAGACTGGGATTGCTGAACAATGTTGTTGTCAGCTGACTGGCAAGTTGAACAGGGTAGCTCTATTTATATTTCGCATGCGATGCCCGTTCGTGTTCACTGCTGAAAAAGCCAGTTATAGACCTAGGTCAGTGACCAGTATTTTGGATTATTTACTAAAACTGTAGAGTGCAAAATCTAATGCAACTCTGAATGGAAAACCAATTAGCTTTCAGGTTTTATTGCCAAAGCTTAATTGAACAAGCTGAAGTTAGAAGCTGATTGGCTACCATGCACAGCTGCACCAGATTCTGAGTGCACTAGTTTTAGTAAATCTACCCCTAAGGGCCGTTCACACCAGATGCAGTCCAGGCATTGCACTCTGCAAATGCAGTTGCTCTTGGTCCCTTTGGTGTACAGAATACCAGCCCACCTGGCTACAGTATCCGATCCTAGGACAGGGGATTGGGTAAGCTATGAACTGTCCCCAGAACTTGCATCCAACAGACCTCTCCCTTCTAGGCCCTGGGGGTGTAGAGGTACTCACACTGTCCTTTTCCTGTTGCTCCTCTGGGGCTCCCTCCCAGGCAACCCAGCAACACCTCTCAGCAATCCATCTTCCACCCTACACTGCACTCCTCCCCCCTGACTCTGCCACATTTGAGGATTGCTCTGGTCACCATATCCAGCCTTCTGCTAAGGGATTGGCCAATGTCCAGATCTGGGCCTCCTCCCCTCTTCCACCCCTCCTCCAGAAAGCTCACGGGTTTCTGAAAAGATGGGAGGGCTCCAGAAGCCCTGACCTGATAGAACTCCCCAGCCTGTCCTGAGGTAACCTCACTACCTCACTCCTCAGGCTGACTCATCCCCGGCTGCTACTCAGCCTCTATCTAACAAAAATCGATCTGAATAACCTGGAGAGTGTTACAATAGCATCAACCTCTGCACCCCCCATTCCTGATCTCCTGTTGTGGCAGCTAGCAGGGGATCTTCTTCCCCTGCTAGTTGTCACCAAAAAAAATGCAGCTATGTGGGGGTCCACACTTCCGGCAACGTCATTTATTCACAGAGTTCGGTGAATGGGAAACTACAAGTCCCACCAGCCTTTGCAGCTGTCAGCTTGTAGTTCTCAATGAACTACCGTGGCTCTGTGGAGTGCACTAGCAGGTCATTTATTTTACATTATTTTACACTGATAGGTCTGTAGGAGTCCTGCATGGCATCCATGATCTGTTGTATGCAATGCTTTCCAGGCTCCAAGTAAAATAAAATAATAAATGCACATTTTTATTCTGCAAAAAGATGCAAATTTATTATTTTTTTAAAAAACGTAAACTTATCCTTTAACCATTAGCCCAACCCTTAAAGTGGACATTTCTCTCTTTTCTCAAAGTTCATATCAACATGCATCTCTGCTTGCTGATGTGAAATCACCTAAGACTGGTTATCAGGATCGGACTGACAACTCATGGGGCCCCCAGGCAATAGGGGATCATGGGGCCCCTGTGTCCTTGCCCAAACTCAAAAAAGCCTATAAAAAAGGTACCAGGGGCATCTCATGGGGCCCCCTACTGACCCCCGGGCCCTCTGGCAGTGCCCAAGTTTCCAAATGGTCAGCCGCCCCTGCTGGTTATTTTAAAACTATTTTTATTTTACTTATCTTTTTTTGGTTGCACCTTACAGGTTTCCTTGAAGACAGTGGTGACTTAGCACCGACCGCAGAGATTCCCCCTGGGAAGGCTATATCACCATTGCCTTCAGGGAGTTCTTTAGGTTGCTAGGGTTTTTTCTTTTTGTGATGTTCAGTAAACCTGATGTATAATTCAATGTTCAGTAAACCAAATGACTCTGATCCATCCTTAGAAATATGACAACAGGTGCCTCTGCCACACAGACCACAGACAGGCTTTTTATAGACCACTTTTAACTAACCTAGTTTAGCATCTGCCTGAGAACCTCACAGATGATCCAGAACTGGGATCCGCGTGGTATTGAGAGAAATCTTTTTAATCCTGTGTAGAGACAGGGTATTCTTCACCTGCACTTTTGGAAGGCTGTATGTTTCTTGTGTATTCCCTCCGGAGTGGCATCTGTCTCTTGATGGATCAGTAATGCAGTCCCTGTAAGGAGAACTTGGTCCCCTCTTTATATTGAACCTCTTCAGACCCCACTAGAAACTGCCCATTCACCTAGCTGTCTTGAAGAGTATCCCAGAACAAGAGATTCTAGACTTGCAGCACTGTCCCCGGGGTAACTGGTTAGGTATAGCACCTAGCAGATAGTTGCTGTGGTGTGTGTGGACAAAGTTATCGAACTTATGGAACACTAGTTCAGAAATTGTGGACTAATGCATTTATGCTGCACTTTTGAGTAAGGCAGCCTCAGGGGCGGACTGACCATTTGGAAACTCGGGCACTGCCCAAGGGCCCAGGGTTAGTAGGGGGGCCCATGAGATGCCCCTGGTACCTTTTTCATAGGCTTTTTTGAGTTTGGGCAAGGACACAGAGGCCCCATGATCCCCTATTGCCCGGGGGCCCCATGAGTTGTCAGTCCGCCCCTGGGCAGCCTCTACCTCTGGCGAGTTGGCAATTTACCTAATTTACATGGAGAGAAGGATTTAACCACCTCCCGCCTGCCATATAAGCAAATGACTGGAGGTGGCGGTTCTCTCATTCTGGGAGGATGTCATATGATGTCTTCCCACTCTAGCTGCACGTGAATGGTGGGTATCTGTGTCCCTGGGACACAGTGGATCACCGATCGCAGTAAAGAGCCGATGACGTTGGCTCTAGGTTCTACCATGTGGTTCTATCATGTGATCAGGTGTGTCCAATCACAGCTGATCACATGTAAATAGGAAATGCCGGTTATCAGAAGTTCTCTCCTCACACTGACAGCGTGTGAGGAGAGGAGAGCTGGTAAGCGGCATTCCTCAGGGTAGCCCCATCAGTGCCATCTGTCAGTGCCCATAATTGCCACCTGTCAGTGCCCATCAATGTCACATACCAGTGCCCATCAGTGCACATCAATGCCACATATCAGTGCATATCAATGCCACATATCAGTGCCCATCAGTGCTGCCTTTCAGTGCCAGTCAGTGCTGCCTATCAGTGCCAGTCAGTGCCGCCTATCGGTGTACATCCGTGATGCCTATCAGTGCCAGTCGGTGCCACCTAACAGTGCCCATCAGTTCTGCCCATCAGTGCACATCAATGCCACATATCAGTGCACATCAATGCATGTCAGTGCTGCCTAACAGTGCCCATCAGTGCCACCTATCAGTGCCATATATGAGTGCTGCCTGTCAGTGTCCACCAATGATGCCTGTCAGTGCCTATCATTGCAGCCTATCAGTTGCCATCACTGCAGCCTCATTAACACACATCAGTGAAGGAGAAAAATTACTTATAACAGAAACTAAGAAAAAGCGTTTGTTTGTTTTTTCATTTTCAGTCTTTTTTAGTTTGTTTAGCAAAAAATGAAAAAACCCAGTGGTGAATAAATACCACCAAAAGAAAGTGTTATCTGTCTCAAAAAAATTATTACAATTTTGTTTGGGTACAGTGTTGCATGACCGCACAATTGTCATTCAAAGTACAACAGCACTGAAAGGTAAAAACTGGCCTGGGCATGAAGGGGGTAAAAGAGCCCGGTAGGCAAGCGGTTAAGATCATCTGTTGAATATTTATTTTCTTATGAAGTAATTCTTTAAAGGGACTTATAAATCATCCGTATATTCACAAGGACTTTAACACTGTTAGTGGGACAGTTATTGGCCTTTCTATTGTTATTTTAGGGTTCATTTTCAGCGCTGCGATTGTTATTTATTAATTTATTTATTTCTAATTTAAGGTAGACCTAACATTGCAAGCAGCTTATGTACACTTGTTTGTTGTAGCTAGAGATGAGCGAATTATTCAAAAATTCGATTCGGCTGATTCGGCGAATTCGCGGAATAAATTTGATTCGAGTCGAATATATTCGCTGCGAATTTAACTTATAAAAGGGTGTTTCTAGGCTTCAGAGAGCCTTTATATTAGTGCAGAACACTGTACCTTTAATTTAAATGCCCTTGGAGTCTGCTGGGGAAGAGAAATAATACTGACAGTCAGTATGACATGCAGATGAGTGCCGTCGATCTTAGAATCACCGCACACTTCACTCATTTGGGCAGTCACGGGGCCAAAACCAGAGTGTGGAGCCACAGTGTGGTGGTGGAGGCAGCAGCAATGGGAGGCCATACAGCACCCTATGACAAAATGGAACCCACCAGCAGTGTGAGGAGACCTGAAAGTGGCACATGGCAGAGTATGGCGATAGAGACAGCAGCAATGGGGAGGCCGTACAGGGACCCATGACACACTCTGGACCTGGCAGCAGCATGAGGAGTCGGTACGGGGGCCCATGGCAGATTACGGGCCTGGCAGCAGCAATGGGAGGCCATACAGCACCCTATGACAAAATGGAACCCACCAGCAGTGTGAGGAGACCTGAAAGTGGCACATGGCAGAGTGTGGCGATGGAGACAGCAGCAATGGGAGGCCGTACAGGGACCCATGACACACTCTGGACCTGGCAGCAGCATGAGGAGGCGGTACAGGGGCCCATGACAGATTACGGGCCTGGCAGCAGCATGAGGAGTCGGTACGGGGGCCCATGGCAGATTACGGGCCTGGCAGCAGCAATGGGAGGCCGTACAGGGACCCATGACACACTCTGGACCTGGCAGCAGCATGAGGATGGCGGTACAGGGGCCCATGACAGATTACGGGCCTGGCAGCAGCATGAGGAGTCGGCACGGGTGCCCATGGCAGATTACGGGCCTGGCAGCAGCAATGGGAGGCCCGTAACCTGCCAGCACCCTATGACAAAATGGAACCCACCAGCAGTGTGAGGAGACCTGAAAGTGGCACATGGCAGAGTGTGGCGATGGAGACAGCAGCAATGGGAGGCCGTACAGGGACCCATGACACACTCTGGACCTGGCAGCAGCATGAGGAGGCGGTACAGGGGCCCATGACAGATTACGGGCCTGGCAGCAGCATGAGGAGTCGGTACGGGGCCCATGGCAGATTACGGGCCTGGCAGCAGCAATGGGGGGCCCGTAATCTGCCAGCACCCTATGACAAAATGGAACCCACCAGCAGTGTGAGGAGACCTGAAAGTGGCACATGGCAGAGTGTGGCGATGGAGACAGCAGCAATGGGAGGCCGTACAGGGACCCATGACACACTCTGGACCTGGCAGCAGCATGAGGAGGCGGTACAGGGGCCCATGACAGATTACGGGCCTGGCAGCAGCATGAGGAGTCGGTACGGGGGCCCATGGCAGATTACGGGCCTGGCAGCAGCAATGGGAGGCCATACAGCACCCTATGACAAAATGGAACCCACCAGCAGTGTGAGGAGACCTGAAAGTGGCACATGGCAGAGTGTGGCGATGGAGACAGCAGCAATGGGAGGCCGTACAGGGACCCATGACACACTCTGGACCTGGCAGCAGCATGAGGAGGTGGTACAGGGGCCCATGACAGATTACGGGCCTGGCAGCAGCATGAGGAGTCGGTACGGGGGCCCATGGCAGATTACGGGCCTGGCAGCAGCAATGGGAGGCCGTACAGGGACCCATGACACACTCTGGACCTGGCAGCAGCATGAGGAGGCGGTACAGGGGCCCATGACAGATTACGGGCCTGGCAGCAGCATGAGGAGTCGGTACGGGCCCATGGCAGATTACGGGCCTGGCAGCAGCAATGGGAGGCCCGTAATCTGCCAGCACCCTATGACAAAATGGAACCCACCAGCAGTGTGAGGAGACCTGAAAGTGGCACATGGCAGAGTGTGGCGATGGAGACAGCAGCAATGGGAGGCCGTACAGGGACCCATGACACACTCTGGACCTGGCAGCAGCAAGAGGAAGCGGTACAGGGGCCCATGGCAGAGTGGCGAAGCGTAAGCAGCTTAAATTGAAGGCCATACAGAGGCTTATGTTAAAAATAATAACATGTTTGGGGCATCATTCATGGCGGATTTAGTCAGTTGTGTCAGGAACTGGTGGTTTGAAATCCAGACTAATCCACGCCTGATTCATTTTCACAAACGTGAGTCTCTCCACACTTTGGGTGGACAGTCGTGTCCTCCGCGGAGTTACAATACCTCCTGCCGCACTAAACACGCGCTCCGATGCCACGCTACTGGCCGGGCATGACAGCCTTTCAAGGGCATATTCAGCTAGTTGGGGCCAAAGGTCAAGTTTTGTTGCCCAGTAGTCAAGGGGATTGTCTACCTCGGTTGGCAGGGTGCTGTCCAAGTAGGCCCAAGCCTGTTGTTTGAGGTTCTGCTCCAGGTCCACCTGATGCTGCTGCTGCTGCGGCTGGTTACTAGTTTCCTCACTGCGCTGGTGAAGAAAGCTACTCATCATCGACTGCAGACTGAGGCAGCCGCTGCTGGTGGAGCTGCCACTGCTCCTACCACCCCACCCCTCCCCTGCTGCCATGGCAGCGGAATGCGAGCGCACAGGGCTCACAGTGTCTGAGGATGGACGTTGGCGCAGAAAGGCAGAGACCAACTGACTACATAGGTGGTTTATATAGTACGTTATTTTGGCCTCCCTCTCAGCAGGTGTGAAAAAGGCCACCATTTTTGAACGGTAGCGAGGGTCCAACAAGGTGGACAGCCAAAAGTCATCCCTCTGTCTGATGGTTATTATTCGGCTGTCGCTACGCAAGCAACCGAGCATGCTATGGGCCATTTGTGCCAAGGAATGCGAGGGACTCCCTGCCTCCATCTCCACAGCATACTGCCACGGTGCATCTGGGTCCTCTGTCTCCTCCTCCTCCTCTACCAGATGCTCCTGCTCCTCCACTCCTGTCCGCTGAGCGGAAAAACCACCCATTTCACTCAATAATTCCTGAGCACCAATGTCCTCCTCTACCTCCTCCTCTTCTTCCTGTCCTGCCCCCACAGGGGTCATGTGGCGTTGAGATCTGTGCGCCACGTCTACCGCACCCTGACCAGCCATTGTTAACAGCATTTGTTCCAGGACGTGCAACAGAGGAATGACGTCGTTCATCCCATAGTCCTGCCGACTCACGAATAGCGTGGCCTCCTCAAAGGGCCTGAGCAAGCGGCAGGTGTCACGCATGAGCTGCCAATGGCTGACATCTAAGTTACACAGGGGAGTACCTTTATCCGCTTGTAACATCAGGAAATCGGTGATGGCCTTTCGCTGTTCGTAAAGGCGGTCTAACATATGTAGGGTTGAATTCCACCTTGTTGCAACGTCGCAGATCAGGCGATGCTGTGGAATTCCGTTCTGACGCTGCAGCTCAAGGAGGGTGTGCTTTGTGGTGTAGGAATGGCTGAAATGCATGCAAAGTTTACGTGACATTTTAAGGATGTCTTGCAGTGGGATGGTGGATTTTAGGAACCGCTTGACAACCAGATTGAACACGTGAGCCATGCATGGCGCATGGCACAAACCTTCCTTGACGCAGAGCAAGACACCATGTTCTTTTCGTTGTCGGTCAACATGGTTCCGATTTTCAGTTTGCGCGGAGACAGCCATCTGTCGATTTCTCTGTTCATTACATTTAGAAGTTGCTCCCCCTGTGTGACTACGTTCGCCAAGGCATACCAGGTGCAGCACAGCGTGACACCGTTG